GAACAACCGCTGTTTCAGAGTCCACCACAGAGACTGATCTGACTGCCTTCATAGCATCCGGCGAGGCACTGCAGGAGGTGAGTGACCATCAGGATCATCATGAACCTGATCACACGGTGCAGAGAGTTATCCCAATTCATTCTCTCGAGCCTAAGACAACACCAAAAACTAGTAGCAGCCGACCTCAAGAGGGTCGGCCAAGTCTCAAACCTGTTGTCTACATCCACAAATAACCTTCTAACCTATGAATCACTCTCCTGTATTTATACCAATGCACAAGGTCTTTTAAGCAAACTGACGGAGCTTCGTCTGCGTCAGGCCTCGATGTCAAGGGACCTCGTTATGATAACCGAGACCCGGTTGAACGAAGCGATCACTGATGCAGAAATCGCACTACCTGGGATGTCTATTCTACGCAACGATCGACCAAGTAGAGGAGGTGGAGTGCTACTTTATTACCGCAGCGAACTACACATTGATCTCATCGATGACCCAGAGGTTCAGATTGCCGATGCGCTTTGGTATCGTCTTCAACATAGCCGTGGGGTAGCATGTTTGTTGGGTGCGGTGTATCGCCCTCCGTCGGCTACTTTGGAAATGGGCAACCGCCTAGCCTTTACAATGAAGACCATTCTCTCGCAGTCGAACAGCCACATTCTCCTGGTTGGCGACTTTAATATTCATACCATAGAAACCCCAGCCTGTATCAACGAACACTTCAAAATGGAAGTACAGGAGATAATTAGTGGACTACCACTCTACAACCACACCACATCTCCCACAAGATTGAGGACGGGAAACAAACCGGGTGTCCTGGATCTTGTATTCACCAATGAAGAGCTTATGATCGAAACGGTATCGATAGAGAGTCCTTTAGGCCGTAGCGACCATGCAACCCTCACGTTCAAGTACATCTGTTATGCAGAGTATTCCTCAGAAAGCCCCGACGAGTGTCAGCTCATTACGGATTACGGCGCTGTACTCAAACTTATAAATGCTACAAACTGGGCATTTCTAGCAGAACGTTCCCCCGATGTCGCCTGGTCTGAATTTGCCCACCAATTCAACATGTTAGTAACTAGTGCTTCTAGGAAAAGACCTTCGCGAGCGAAGACAGTAAAATCGTTCATACGCAGCAGGACACGTAAGTGTATCGTCACGAGGAATTTACTCTGGCGAAGATACAAGGAGTCACCGAGTGCCGAAACATGGGAAGCCTACACTATCCAAAGGAATCACTGCGTAAACCTGGTACGTGAAGATAAAATACAGCACCAACAGAATGTAGCTGAGAAATTCCTTTCAAACCCCAAGCTCCTGTACAGAAACGTTAACAAGCTCCGCAATGTACACCGAGGAATTCCTGCTTTACACACATTGTGTGGACTTGCACAAGACGCAACCGAGGCGGCCAACGCCCTATGTCAACAATTCACCCCGAACTTCCAGAGCACGACATCGCCGCATACACTATTCCCGACCATTGTACCACCACCAGGACTCAGCCACATCACGTTTACGACTGCGGATGTCATGAAAAGGCCAATTGCCCTGCGCGAGCACACCTCTCCCGGTGTTGATAATATTCGTCCAAAAGCATTGAAATTGGCTGCAGTGAACCTGGCGTACCCCCTCTGCAAGTTCTTCCAACGATGCCTCGATGAAATGCGCGTGCCAAAAATGTGGAAGCAAGGCATCGTTACTACCATCCATAATGGGGGAAGTCGTGCAGATCTGGCCAACTATCGCCCGATAACACTACTTCCGGTGCTCTCCAAAATGATGGAAGCGATTGTTGCCGAAGCGCTGATGAACTTCTTGGAAGAACGCAATATCATAGCACAAGAACAAGATGGATTTCGCAAGAACCGATCTTGCGTTTCAAACTTGCTACTTGCCAGATCCAGTTGGACTGAGACCGTCGACAGCGGCGTAGGTGTTGACGCAGTATATCTGGACTTCTCAAAGGCTTTCGACCGTCTGAACCACCGTATCCTCCTTCACAAGCTGCGGTGTTGTGGAATTGGTGACCCAATCCTCGGTTGGATAGGTAACTTCTTGCTTCAACGACATCTGAATGTAAGAGCTCGCGGCGTCATCTCTGACCCAATCGACGTTAAGTGCGGAGTGCCCCAGGGCTCAGTACCTGGTCCATGACTATTCCTGATTTACATAAACGATCTCGCGAGAGTAATCACCTCCAACTCCTTACTCTTCGCTGATGATCTCAAGATATGGCGAGCCATTAGAACAACGAGCGACAATGCAGCACTTCAGGATGATCTTGACAGGGTCTACGAATGGTCGACTCAGAACCTGCTTCAGTTCAACGCTACGAAGTGCAAGGCGTAGAGTATACGCCATAAAGCCACTTGCGAATATAGACTGGGGGATCAAATATTGCAGCGCACTACAACGGAATGTGATCTAGGAGTGGTAGTGCAGGAAGATCTGGGCTGTTCCCGTCAGACGGAGAATGCCTCCAAAAAAGCTAACCAAAATCTTGGCCTTTTTGCGGAGGCATTCGGGCGCTTCGATCCTTCCATCTTTCCTCAGATGCACAACGCCTACATTCGACCTCATTCTGAGTACGCCATTCACGCCTGGCAGCCATGGCAAAAGCAAGACCTTACTGCTCTGGAACTGCTACAACGAAGGGCGACCAAGAACGTAAAGGGCCTGTTTCATCTCCCTCACCGACTGAGGCTGAAAACCCTCGGGGTCTACAGTGGACTATATCGACGCCTGCGTGGCGACTTGATAATGACTTATATGACCCTGAGGAATCCAAGCCAGTGTTGTCGTCACCTACTAAACCTGAATAGCAATACAACACTCAGAGGACACTAGCTAAAACTGGCCACACAATACAGCTGGTTGGAATGCCGCCGGAATTTCTTTTCTCTTCGTGTGTGCGAACACTGGAACGCTCTTCCCACATATGTTGTTTCTTTCCCCACGCTAACGGTATTCGAAAGACGTCTGGATGATTCGCTTATCCACCTACATTACGCTATATAATCAGAGATGTCCACGTCAAACAAACGCGCAAGAAAGACGGTGCTCATTCTCAGCTTTTGTGCTTCACTATTTACACACTGCTGTTGTGAAATATACTTTCGGATATATTACAACTGCATTCATCCATTTATCTCAGTCCAAGAAAGCGGCGCACGAGTAAGCATTGTCTTTTCTCTTGTTCTTAAGACACGCCTTCCCCATCTTACTTCCCATATTACTGTACAGTAACAATTCAGCACACATTCTACAACGTTTATATGAATAAGGGGCACTTGAATTCACTAGACGCTTAAATTGACGAGTTACACTGATGTTTATTTTCACTTTAACCATCCTACGGGACTTGTAAAGCAATCGTTTTTTTTCCCGTGATATAGCATTGTTCATTGAATACCTCAACTCACAACCTAAGCTACTGCGCACAATGTGCATTAAACCTGTGCTGGTGACGTCAGATCTCACGAAAGTGCCTTACCTTAAGGCTGTTGGTGAGGTTACTGAGTTCCCTGAAGTTGATTACTTACGAGCAGTGATACACTATGCAGTGGTATGTAAGCTGTTCCCAAGTTTGTAATGGTAATAATCTTTGCTAAGCCTTACTGATCAGGGAGGCGCACGTGGTACGTACTGGGAACTAGATAGGAAGGGTTTACTTAACCTAAAACCTGATGCAAATACATGAATACAAATATGCTTGGTTAGCGGTATCCTTTTCCCGATTTGCCTGTCAATGAGCCTAAGCTTAGTCACAGGACGCCTGCTCCCACAGGGTAAACCCGAAGGAATACGACCGGGAGGCAGGTGAATGGGAGCCACGTTTCATCAACGGAGCCGGCCCACACTCCTTCACAGGCAAACACAAGCACGCTGTATTTGGGGAATCAAGTGCACACAAGGTGGTGGCTGGACCGTACTCAGCTGCACACTGGAGGGAACTACTCTTCGAGTCTAGCACGGCCACGAAGATCGTGCAACCAGTCCCCCTGAAACGATTCACCTTCTCCTGGAGTCAGTGATCGAGGTGGAGTGTGTTAGACGAACGGGCACTTTGTCATCCTTCACATCAATCGCAACCACATCGAGGATATCAAACAATCAACACAGAATTCGTAGGAAAATAAGCACACAAACTTGACATTGGATGTGCGGCAGTATAATAGAACACAGAAAATGAAAAAAACGTGTATTAAGCCTAATCTAGCGTAAGTGATTTGGGTAAGTCTGGGCATTTCAAGCGAATAACAACGAAAATAAAAAATGCGTAAAGAGAACAGGGTATATGCAGTGGATTCACGGAACCGAGCGAATAAAGTAAACTCTGTTCGGTCAGATCTAGTGTAACCCGAAACACCGGTAGTTTAAATTACTCCAGCCCAAGTGCGGTGAAGCAGCGTATTGAATGCAACATAAGTAGTACCACCGATCGGAGTACGTTCCAACATTTGGTGCTGAAACATTTACAACCAGATTACCAAGATCGGTGAGCACGTGACCACTTGAACTTGAAATGACCTGAACTACTCCAAATAGGTGCATAAAATACTAGATGGTGGTTATGACCAGGCAGTATTGATACAACAAGAGTAAAAGTCAAGGGTCAACATGTGTCCCGTAACGGCTGTTATACTGTTCATTAATGGTTAACATTGATGATTTAATGGACAGTGACACAATCTACTTGGATCGGGGATAGCTGAGGTCGGGTCATGCGCAACATTTGGGTTAGGCTTCCGTGTATGACAGAACAAATGATAATCCTTCATTCCGAGGCGATTCTTTTCAGTTTGGTTTTTAATTGGTCGTTCCCCTCACCTCCCCATTTCATTGTTGATTGTGGCTAGAACAATGACAATAGCAAGCGGATTAGCCGCACTTTGTTGTTCGGGTCATGGATAACTAAGCCATGTGATGTGAGTAGTTAGTATGTGGTGAATATTTAAGGAATCCCCTCCGTTCGACATTGGCTGACTCATCGTTGCATGCATATTGGCTTCCCATTAGATCCAGTGATCGACGATCTGGGCCGCCTACGGCGATTACGAATTGGGCAAGAACGAAGACGTACGGAACTGATCAAACGGCTCAATCAACTGTATGTTGCACTGGGGACAAGAAGAACACAAGGCAAGTGAAACACACAGGTATCAAACAGTTAACTGATTAAGATGATGGATTCGGAAGTGAACCAACAAAGGAAATTCTATTCTCGGAAATTTCGAGGTACACCATCGTGGGCATAACCATAATTAGTGAGTGCCATACCCACGATCTGAAACCCGGTTTTCAAGTTGAACGGCCAACGCACATTCCACTACACTAGTAATGGTAATGTAAGTATCCGGTATGGCGTCATCAAGCTACAACGTAGCCGATGCAAAATAGTCCTCATTTCAATGTTAGATTTGGATTATTTGTTGTATGGTTTAGATTGCTACACGAATCATAGGTTTACTCTGAATTAGATCTCGGTCTCTTCGATCACCAGGATTTTGCGCGAGGTGGGTGTTACTCTTCCCAGCACTGACTTCCAACGACCGGTCTTGTCAACCTTTGGACTCATCATGGAGAGAAAGCGTGAGCTGAGCATCATCCGTTAACCGTTAGGCCCCCGAAAATTTTTTCACCTGACGAATCCAAAGGAGGAAGAAATTAGTCCTCGTTTACCTCAACGTATACCACACAGTGTCTGTGGGAGTCCGTTTATGGTTGCATGAAGTCCAGTCACGATAACATCACGCTGACTCTAGGATATTGAGCGTAGAACTACCATGCAAGGTATATAAATCGCCTGGGAATCAACTAAACGTGACATTGCTCTGAGTTTATTTGACAGGGTGGTGGTGCGTTTAAGCAGTTGTTCTCGCCTCTGTGATCACCTAATGCATTCTTCAGGCAATTGTTAACCGTCGACAGCTGTTATCAAATCACGGTTACTTGTACGCACTCATTAGTAAGGGATTTTCGCCGTACTTATTTGAGAGTTTATTGTAGTAGCTTCTAAATCAGATAGTTCTTCACATGTCTTTCTCAGGCCACCCTACCCTCCGCGTGGGAATTGAGGATGAGTCATGCTATGTCACAGTTGAATTGTTAGTCATGATGCTTCCCACGGCTCATTAGCATAATCTGATAGCTGGCGGTGCAAGTCGCTATTGGTCAAGGGTTCGTATCCTGATCCGCTTCCGGCAAGACCCAACGGGTCGAAACGGTCGTCTAGTGCTATTTCGAGAATGTGGAAGATTATCTGTTTTGGAGGCTACCGCGATGAACTATCACTTAATTAACTGTACGTGCCGCTCATTGAAAGACAAATAAGCCGATAAGTGCTATTTTGTCACAGCGCCCAGAGAGTGACGAGTAGACGGTACGACTGAGGTGAACAACACCAACGAATATCGCTGGAACATTACCGGCCCAACAGAGAGGACGCTTAGGTATGTGTAAACGTGACAGTTTCAGATCTAGTGTTCTCCACCCGCAGGGGCCAAAATGACAACAGAGCCAGAGATGAACGGTAGCATGTAAGCGAATAAGCATGGTCATGAAATCGCGCATCTGAATGACCACTAGCTCTGCTGTGCACACGCACACAATACGTCCGGTGAAGCCCACGGACCTAATTGCCCGACCGAGCAATGTTGGATGACGGTTAAAAAATGAATGCTTAAAACGTCCCGTGGGATGAAAAGAATTGAGAAAAGAAAAAATGAAGATAAAAATGAAAGGTGCGCCGCTAAGCTCACGCATTGAGATGTACGTAACGGAGCGGAGATGTTAACATAAAAATTAACGTTAATCCACCTGGTTGGAATCTTGGTAACACTCCATTTGGTCGCGTTATGTAGGGTCCCAAGTAACACCAATTTTGAAATGAAGTGCTGATGGAACAATGCTTAGTCAATTCGTTTTTTAAATATCATTAAATTGGGGGACAAAAATAACATAGTTTGGGGAAGCTTTTCACGATTGACACACTTGAAGGGCGAAGAAATTTCTATGGCATTCCGGCCGGCTTTGCTGTATTGTGGCTTTAACAAATAACCTCTCAGAACGATGTTGTGGTACAGTTCCAGCAGCGGTTTGAAAATGGGGTGTGAGTTCTACAAGATCTGGCAGAGTATTATGAGATTCCCCCCTCAGGCGCCGAGATCGACTACTGTACATACTTAGGGACTTCAATCCAAATTGGTAGAGCAGGTGGAAGAGGCCTTTAACGTTCATGTATACGTTTCGTTGAGGAATCTCGTGAGCAACAAGGTCTTGCTTCTGCCACGGGTGCCACGCCTAGACGGCGTATTTCACATGCGGTCGTACGTGGACGTTAGGTATTTGTGGGAAGATTGAAGGGTCAAACCGACGAACGCTCTGCGAAGAAGACCAACATGTTGGTTACCGGTTCTGGACACCTTCGCTGGTTGTTTCGAGCAGTCCAGATCATATTGAACCAGTCCACCATTGTCACACTCCTGAGCAGACTTCTACAGGTGTGTTCTCTAAGCTTGTATACCTTTACCAGTTAGTGACGCAGACGAATCACCTTGTACTTCGCAATGTAAAATTGGAATAGGTTCCTACTTGAACACCTGTGAACACAATCCAGGTAACGTTAGAGGAACCTGTGATCTTCATTGACGTTAATCACTCGTCATATCATAATAACATCGGTGAAAAGCAGGAAAATAGCGGCAACAACACTTGTTAAGGAAACGATAAACTAGAAATAAGCACAGTCCCAGCATTCGGCCCTGTGGAACCTCGCATCCTACCTCGATCGGGTTGGAGAGTGATCCCAAATGCGAATTCTATGCCTCTATTGTTTAAAGAGGTTGGCAGTTCGCCAAAAGACTTGATCTACGATCCTAAAGCACTGCAGCCTGTGAGGTGGGATGTGATAACCCATGCGGAAAGTTTAGGTATATGACTTCCTTCCCGGCCCCACCATCGACCGCTTCCGTCAAACTACCTCGTGTCATCAACAGAATTGTGGTGCTGATAAAAGCTATGTAACTCTGCAGCATTTCTCCAATTGGTCCACTAAAGCCTCAGCGACGACCACTTTCATCAACTTCGAGAGCAAAGGGATCAGAGTCACCGAGTGATAGTTTGCAAGATCTGAACGACAACCGCCCTTAAAATCAGGGTGATAATTTCCTAATTTTACATGGTCGGAACTTGATGCGCATGGAAGCATCTTTGGAAGAACCACGACAGGGGCTCGGTTAGCTTGCTAGTCGCAGCCTTCAGTGCTTTTGGGTGTAAGTAGTCGGATCCCGAAGGGCTATGTAGGCCCAATGAAAACAACCTTCTTAGCACAATTTCTGAGCTCAAGCTTATATTTACAAACTCGGGAGTTGGTAAAGTAGATAACGGTATATGACAAGGGCTTGTTCGTGTTCGAAAATGTTTGTTTGAAATGCCAGGTACGTGTCAGCACAGTTCATCGTATCTTTAGGAATCACTAGGTGAACATTCGAAAATCCGATTCTCATCTCCCTGTCGATTAATAAAAAATAAGTTGGCGTATACTGGTATGTGATATCGCTTCAGCAATTACCAGCACACTGTTATCCGTGAGGAGAACATTCACAGGTACTGGTTGACATCTTGTAAACAACCTAAATCTTCTTCACTCCGAAAACGATTTCAGTGAACCGAATGATTGATGGATGCTTCCGAGTAAGTTATGGTTCAAATGTTAATACTTCTCGCAAGCCAAACACAGTGGGTGATCCAGAACATCACGAAGCTTATCGGTTGCATTGAAGGATAGCGTCCTACAATCAAAGGATTTGTTTAGGTTCAGTGACAGGCGATAACCCGTGGTCGAAACACCCTACGCATGGAAAGTTGCCGTGGTTTGAAAACTAAATGGCGCCACAAGGGGCATGAACTGACTAGTATGTGTGTGTGTGTGTGTTTTAACTCTATATTTGAGCATTATACGGGAAATGACTGAGATTAGTTATAATCGCCGGAAAGTTAGACCTAAATTAGTACGCCGTCATCCGAACGGAACATTATCACAGTGAATTTAATCTGCATGAACTGGGATGGCGAAGACTGAGGCTTTCAATAATATGTATTTACGCAGGTGATCAAATAAGCGAAGATAGCGATACACACGACTAATCTCTAGGAATATAGTCGATTTCAAGTATAAGTGCCTTAGTGCCTTACTGGAAGAAAGTCGTTTACTTACGGTAAGAGTTGCGAAAAAATTACACCACAGGCGGCATTAAAGATCCAGATAAGCGCTGCAAACTGCATGGTACCCAGAGAGAGAGAGAGAGAGAGAGAGAGAGAGAGAGAGAGAAGGTGGCGGCTGTGTGAACTGCTCAGAAGTGTTGTTTCGAATGAGATTGAAAAGACCACTTGGCAGACACAACTTTCGAGCATGATGGGTGCAAGTTTACGAGAATATGGAAGATATGCTGTTAGTTCACCGAATTTCGGACCATACATGACCATCTGAAAGTGCACTACCGGCTGATTCGAATGAGCATTTCCTAACTTTACGAACTCCTAAAGCATTTCAAGGTAGTATTTGTTGACATTCACCCCTTTTCATCTATTTCAGTTCGTGATGAATGGAAGCGACGGTATTACACGGCCAAGAGGCAAGCGCCCATTCTGGAGGATCGCATGAAAGACCATCGTGAGGTTCTGGACAAAATGATGCGTCGAGCCGCTGCTAGCATTCGCCGAAGCTATCCGGACTCACGTGAGGTAACTTGCTCATGCGCTGCAAATGCAATCGCTGCACCTATGAATGCTCACGGGGTCTTCTAAATCCCTGTTGAACGAAGCGTTCTGTGCTGGTTTTGAAACCGTAACCTTTCTAGTACCAAATGCAGCATATCTGTTACTAGGAGACCGTAGTTCTCTTGCATTCGAGGAAAGAGTAGCATGGTGCTTAGACGAAATTCATCTTCTACGGCCCTCCAACTAACAACCGTAGATTAGGCAGAGCAATGAATGTCTTCTTTGTTCTCCTAACCGCCGTCATTGCTGAGTGCTTCTACCTGGAGCTGTAATTACAACTTCACACGAAAAGGGAAAAGGGTGATAGGTTCATTCAAAAGCTGTCCAAAGCTGGATGGGTAGATGATCCACTCTTAGTATAGAGCTAGGAGTTTAAAAACATATAAATAACGTATACATGAGTAGCAAAGTTCTATGTAATGTTATTGTGTTTGTTGAAGCAGGCTCTAAATCAGATGACCAACAGCTCAGCTTGAAAGGCAGTGAGTGGGTGTTTCGTCCTATTGGTGACCCCAGCAGCTATTGTCAACAGGTCATGGGATCGATTCCTGATGGAACCGGGGTTGCGTACCACCAATGAGTCTCAGTGAGACGAAACAGCCGTCAGGTACGATGCTGGACGCGTGGTAGGATATTAGAAATGTAATCTACTTCGAGGAACTCTCAGTAAAACCACAAGTGAATAAGCAGTAGGCGGGTAGCACCACTGATCACCTACCGCACATGTATCATACCGAAAAAGGCCTTCTAGTCATCGCTTAAATACCGAATAGAAGTTTTGTAGATTAGAAGTTATATAGAGTACAGTTATCCACTGTGTGCAATGTGGAGGTGTCAAGTAACATCAAGGCATATAGTTAAAAGAAACACGGATATCCACCCGTTTGTAGAGTAGAACACTGCATTTGTATCATGCTGGCTGAGAGAACCAACGGACGACCTATTCAACTCTGTTTGGTGGCCAGTCCAGTAACTTTTCGAGAAAGTCCCCATCACACTGAACCTGTGTGACTACGCACTGGATACAGGGTGCTTGCAGCTTTATCAACCAAAATGTTTCTACCTCGGTATTGCCTCAAAAATGATTCGTTTGAGTTCAGTAAAACAACTGCGAAACGGACGCCGAAAAGCGATGAATCCAGAGACCAGGACGAACTGCACCATGCCAATATGCTTAACAACAGTGAGCAAATATTGACTTAAATAATGCATAGGTATAGAAGAACAATGAAAAAATGGAGAGCACCTCTAATCGTCTGGGGTGGACAGTTAACAGTAAAAAGTAAGAAGTCAAGTGCAATAGTTTCGTGTCGGATTAAACTTCTAAAACACGAGGTCGCTTTGCATCCAGCACAATCAATCCCTTCAGTCCATTTATCCACACCGCTTTACAAGGTTATCGATTACCTCTTAGAACTGCGCACTAGTACCGGGTGTGGGGAAACAATTTACACCAAGGGAGGTAATCAATCAGTACGTATTTTAAGCCTTCTTAACCAGTCTTGGTGGTACAGATTTGTCAGGTGGTCCGGTAACATACCAGGTGGCCTGCTATCAAACACTAACCAATGAGTCTGTTGCGCACCTGATGCTCCCACCAGATATGAAGTTAATTTGTAAGTGGCAGTTTTCGAATATGGCTCAAATTGCAATCTCAGTTTTGGTCTCGCTGCGTAGTTCAGGCATACATCGGTTAGTGCGGCACAAAGTCCACGGTGATCCAACAAATGTGGTGAATACCTTCGCTTCCACCTACATGAAGTAAGAGTTATTGTTTCCTAAAAACAAACCTTCGTGGCTGCATATGTCAGACGACTTGTCTCAGCTGCCTTCTCCCAGGAAGTGGATTAAGTTTTCAATCTTGCTAAGAGGAGTGGACAGCGTATGGCAACCCAGTCACTGCAGGGTATGTTGTACAGAGGTACCCACTGCGCGCAAGGATAAGAGGACCCGCTATTCAAGGGCGCAATAGCAACTGATCGTACCGCTTACTTTATTTGACCATAAACATTGGCGGAAAGTAGAAGGCAGCCATCCAGCTCCCATGGCTTAGGTTACTGCATCCGCTTATGAAACTCCCCTAGCGTTTTTATCGATTACAACAGAGCTTAACGTGATCAGCACTTAGATCAGAGATGCGTGTATCGATGAAGCCTCAAACTGGTTTGGGGACACTGGACGCAAATCTAAAGTCAACTAGGAGCAAACGTGTGTTCGTTTTGTCCACTTTTAAATCAACTTCACTAGCTTATCTTTAGTGTACCAGAGTTGATCGAAGCCATACTGTCGTTTACCTTGGGCGTTTTCTACTTGGCCTCTCAGCTACTCAAATCCATCAGTAGAAACGAAAAATGCAGTCTGCTCAAATGAAAGAAGCGCATTTTATTCGAACACTAATGGCATTTCGTACACACACACACACACACACACAGTATCAGCTGGGTATAGGACACAATAGTGTGGAGGTTATGATTAATTCATGGGGAACACGGTCCCATAAACCTGCGCTCCAATGTAAACTGTTTTGCTTGCTTCCGGTCGAGTTGAGGCTGCACGTTGGCAGGGATATTCGATGCATAGGAGACAAGAGTAAACCTCAATGTCGTGAACTACCCACGATTTCGGCTTCCTGGTGGATTGACTGATGCGAACTACTGACAATTCTTAATAGGACATAACGGTCATTTAGTACTTTTTGGATGAGTAGTCCAATGTCTGGTTGGAAATTAACTGTGACAAACAATCTCTAGATTTCAAGACGCTTGAAATTATACTGTTGACATATTTGATGGACAACGTTTCACTGATACCAGAGTCTAAGGACAAATGTATAGATAACAGTTTTGGAGAGGACGACGCTGGCAATTTCAAATGGCGTCACGTCGACACTACTCAATCGTAAAACAGGAAAAGGGGTTTCTAAATCAGTTTAACCCCATTAATTAAAACAAGTTTAAGGAATCGCACTGAACAATGATTTATGTCGGGTAAAAAAGCAGTTGCTTGAGAAGTCCCGCAGTATGGTGGGGGTAAAACTACAATTATCAAAAGATAGGCGCGTTGTTTGTTTGTGCGTTTATCCAGCAGATACGCTGCTGAGTAATAGCAGTGCACGTGGGAATTGCTTGAGAACGACGAGGTAACATGAGAGTAGTTATAGTCGTTGTGCTCCGTGAGCAAAGTAAAAAGGAGAATACTCACTTCTGTACCGCATCCTCAGGTTTATGTATGTTAATCCGGTTTGAAGAGATAATCAATATATTCCGGAGTATCACTATTTAGGCAACGAAATGATGGGGGCCAAAAGCAAGCTACGATCGTTATATGAAAATATCCAAGGTGGGGGAAGGAACAAAGAAGTTTGGGAGAGAGTCTCAGGGTTGGCAAACCCGAAGGGAAAAATAATGCCGCCGGCATTCTAGGCGGCTATACTGTGCACACAATTGCAGAGAATTACCTCCTAGATTGATGTTATGGCTGAGTTTCAGCAATTGAAGGCATGCGTGATTAGGGTCACTCAATATGTGGTAGACTAATATGAGATCGCCGCGCAGCCTTCGATAATGGCCACTGAAAACTCCCAGTGACTTCAGCCTTTGATGGTAGGATAGATTTCGTAGACCCTTGACGTTCTGGGTGGCCCTGCGTTGGCGTTTCTTTAGTACTTCTAAGTCGCGTTTCAACCAAGGTTGACAAGCTTGGATGGCGTATTCAACTTGAGGGCGCACGTGAGAATGGTACAGCATGGGGAAGATGGATGGATCGAATCATCCGAATGCTCTCCGCAGCATGCCGACGCGCTGGTTGGCTGTCTTCGCAACTGCCTCTGACTGCCTCTGACCCAAGCCCGTACTTGTACTTTATCACTTCTTGACTGCTTAATTCTCAGGAATGGAGGATGTCTAAACGCAACGACGTCTCGTAAACCAATGGGCATGGATGGGGTGTTCTACTACAGTTCAGGTCACTCAAACCAGGTACATGTTGGTATTTCCTCCGGTTCACAAGGCCCATACTCTATGCAAAGAAGAAGGCTATGAGAAGCCAGCTCAAGGAAGATTTAATGAACCAATTTTCGGATAATCGACATCCAAGGCGGCTAACGAAACGCCGGTTACCTTCCACTACTTACCACGGTGTGGAATGGGGGCTAGCCAGCGTACAGGGTGATTGTGGAGCTTGTGCCACACAAGGCACGAAATCGATTTTGACACTGTCGAGATTCCAAGGAAGAGATTCAGATCAGCGCTCCATAGATTAACCACCGTAGTGGTGAAAATCAGCTCCGCCAATATCTGGGTGGACGGAGCAGTCAAGTGTAATCTTGAAGAAGTCAGTCAGAAAAGTGTCGGCGGCCAGATCTAGGCTGGACAGTGAACATCAAATTACAACTATTACCAATTCGGAGGACCCATGTGTGAATGCTAAGTAACTTGAACCGCTTGGGAATTCGGTGTTGCTCGCTGCCAGCACGGACAACCCACGACCGGTTTCGTCCTCTTTCGGACTCATTAGATGGAGGTAGCCTGAGCTGGAAGTGGACCTCGGGACCTAATGTGGAACAGCTGATGTCTTGAACAATAATCCACTGAGATCACTGAACAATACTTAGCACAGTGATCAGGAACGCAAAGTTGACCTCTTGGGTACCCTCCGTATGGCCGGATTGCGACGCACCATACTAGTACTGGAAATGATCGAGGTCTGCTCCAAATTAAAGCGAAGTTCATCATTGATACGCGTTAGCTGAGGGTGCGAGATACACCTAAGCTAATGTGCCGCAATACAAAAATTATCAGGCATTAGACATTAGACTACAAAATCTAAAAAAATATGAGAGGGGAAGAGCATGGAAATTCACAACACAAACGCCATTGAGGTCGGCTCCTTGCCATATCAACAAGTATACCCAACTAGACGTGTTCATCGTCCTTCGGAACCAAGTCGGACAGTCGGCGGACACTAACCGACGCTGAATTCGAAGTGAGGGCTTTTATTCCGCAATTAAACAGAGGTCCTAATAGAGATCGCTTGTGGCAGTACAGCCACACGGCGAGTAATTCAAAGTCAAATCTTGAGCCACTTGGGACGTCCCAACTATTGTTGCATCGCTTGAGACGATAGCCTCTAACAGCGATTGTTCCCTGACACATCTCTGTTGCAGCAATTACAATTCCAGTTTTCTGTAAATGACACACCACGTAAGTCTTTACTCACATATCTTGACAAGGCATATGTGTCAAAAATGAAGCGTCCTTCCCCGGATATTCCAACCGATTTGGAGAGCACGTTCCCAGTAATGAGTTCTACAACTGGTATCATCCTTGTTTAGTCGTAAGATAGTGATGTTTGGAACTCGAATTGTAAGTTGTGAGATTCAAACACACCTAACGATCAACAAATTTGTCTGTTTGGCTAATTGGGACCGCTGAATGTCTGTGCTTTCTGCGCACCCTGTAAGTCTCATTCTGAGCTTCTGTGTAGCCTCCTAGTATTTATGCGGAGAAATAGAGAAGGGGTATTAACAAGATACTTGGAACCGGGGTCTTGAATTAGCGACCAACCATCGCATGTGCACTGGGCAGTCGAGGACACACAATTAAAATGCTGTCACACTCTTCCTCGGACAGTGGTGTATATGTTATGCGGGAAAGTTTCGTTGCAAAAGCGGCGTCACCATTTGTGGTAATATCGTCAGTGCAGGAGAATCGGCAGTTACGTGGCAGAGGCTGGTTGAAGGCAAATTCAGTGTTAAATCCATCCATGCAGCCAAACGGATCAACTTGGCGAACACCGCACCGACAGAACCCGCAACCTGAAGTACCAGTGTTTCATTGATTGGAGGGTCATTTTGACGTGTTCGGTGTGTGAACGAGTTGCAACGCGCAATCTCAATATGGACCGGGATTCGCGCTGAAGTGACCCTTAGACAACTCGATCAATGAGATCGTAACTGGGTGGGCAACGCGCAACAGCTATCTGCTTTACCAATGTTTCGAGTAATTTTGACCCGGAAAAAGTCAGCCATAGATGACATCCTTTAAACTCAGTCAACATGACAACTAAATTTAATGCTGGAGCTTTCCACTACGGGTCTGTTACGGGAGTGCGAGAGGAGTTGGAACTAATTCAAATTTAATCGCAACACTTATAAGTGTAAAAGCTGAGTTTAAAGCTTCGGACTACATCGAGCACAGTTAGGGTTGGGAATATCAGTGTGTACCTCGCGGTGAACACTGGATACTTGATTTGATGATAAGCATCAGTGGGCGATCAAAATACAGCCTGAACGTGATGGGATGATTTACATGCCGCCGCGCAATCGCAGCAGGAGGCAGCAGCAGTCGCAGCTCATCTGGGGCACAGCCAGTTCTATAGGCGGCCATAACCAACGCCACTACCCTGTAGGGAACAGAGGTGACTCCAGGACAACGATAGTTCACTTCAAGCCGTCAATTTGAATGAAGCAACGTCAAACAGTAGCAGATGATTGTCTGCGAACAGGAATTGCAAGTGGACGACTGCATTTATGCGGTATCAGCTGGTGGCACCTCAGGGATTCCAATTTATGTCACCTGGATATGGGACCGAAGCCAACATCCCTGACTTCACTATTGGAAGTAACATCGACTGGACCAAAAATGCGAAATAGCAGCTTATGACTTGCTGAAACACATTTATTTTAAATGTGCCTTGGTGCCGCGGAAGAGAATTCTGCACAAGAAGTTGACCGCCTTTCGAAAATGGTCAGAAAATAAGCGTAAGTATGTGAAGCCGAATTTGGCGTAATTTGGCCGTGCACATTCACTATAGTCAAGTTGAAAAGAAGATACATCATCGTGTTGATGAATTAATGCATGCCATGAGAACGTATATAAATGGTACTGCATGTTTCGATCAGGTAGCTTTTACCATCAGTTTCCAAATACGCTATCCTAAGCTACTAAACCAGGCAGGAGTATGATGTCACTGAGTTCGTGATCCCTTTACACAGAAGGACCAATGGGATCAAAATGTGGTCCCAAACAAAATGCTAACCAAAACAAGAGGCATTCTGCGTTTATGGAATCAGTGCACCGAAAATCAACCAACTTCTAGTTATAGTAAGTATGTCGGACCTCCACCGGTGATATCGGATTTCAAAACTGTTGGCATGCTCACAAGAAGTGCCGACACACCAAAGACCATGCCAATACTGGAACACGCCGTTAAATAGGTCGATCATTCACACATAGAGTGTACATATTCAAATAAACAACTTACTGACGCATTCATTTGACTAACTTTTACACCTGAGTTTTCTTGAGGTGACAAACTGCTGGATAAAGTCAGCTGCAGACACTTGGTAGTCCTCATGAAGTTCACTTTAAGCCGTTTATATGTGTAAAGAGTGTGACAAGCAACCTAGTAATGTAACATGATATTTCGGACGCTAACAAATTGTTTCTCGTCTGATTTAACGCAGCACCAAGAACTTGCATCGGCAATAGAAAAGCGACGCGAGGTCACCCAGGACGAATACAAGCTGGCCGAGGTGATGCTGGCGCTGACCAAAGCGATCAAGGTGAGCATTGAAAATTTTTGCTTGCGTTCCAAATTGTAAAGATCGAATACGGATAAGGGTTATAGTCTCCAGGTTATATACAACTTGGAGTTGTGAGACACAGATGTAAATTGCCAAACTCTTGCAACTGAACTGAAATTTTTATAGCTTTTTTTTACGTTAAATGATGATCTGGAGGTTATAGTAATTGTTAGGCATCTGTGAGCCCTCAGAACTACTCCAGAGAGATTCATTCTTTTCGAGTTGAGAAATACTCACTTAAATGTATCTCACACAGGCGAGTCGCAGACAGATGGTTGATCAACTGCTCAAGTGATATCGAATGATTGAACAGAAGTTAGCGTGATCCAAGTAAGCACGGCTAGTAAGCGTCACAATTGGTACCTGAATTAGAGAGATGTGAGCAGCAACAATGAACAATGATTTATCACGGGATAAAAGCAAGTGCCTGACACGTCCCGTAGGATGGTTGAGGTGAATATGATGAAATCAAAATATGTCTGGGTCATCTATCGAACGTCTGCCGATATGAATAGTTTGATAAGTAACATCAGTGTAAAATTAAAATACAAGTACAAAGTAGGAATGGTCATTCAGGTCAGGGCAGGACAATGTAGACGTTGGAACACTGTTTGTCGTTTTAAGAGTAACCTGAGAAAGCGAAAGCATGGTTTTGCGATGTTATACTTTTATTTGTTTGTATTCTACTCACAGGCTCGCCTGTAATAGCCATACTAGTAGGTACAATGCTGTGGCAAGGTGCAAAAGGAAGGCACAGTGCATGGGAGATATTCCATGGAGAACCGGAGAGATAGTGGAACTTCGTTACCCGGTTCATTTCTGGGAAAACCTTGGTACCCTATATCACTGCAGAAAAATTTCAAGTACCCTATTTTGTATAGGCTGGATAGTCATTGGTTATGGCCTTCGATACAAACGAATGCCGTTTGTTACTTGCGCGCTTCTTAGTATTCTTGTTCGGCTGCCATGCGCGCAGTCTACAACCGCGGGTAGTGTAATATTCTATCCCCTCTGGCATTCATTTCATTACAATATTCCTCAAGACATAAATGTAGGTCTTTATTCTCTCGATTGGCTAAACAAACTGATTTTTATTAGCTCCGAACACAGGCCGAACACGAAGGTCGTGTGCTTGTGGCTGAACTGGATCGAAGACGAGGTGAAGTGAACTTGGTGAAATCCACCTCTCCAAACCGCCGGTCGTACGTGTTCTCATTGTCACCGCGTCGGCAGACAACGGGCAAGTTTGGGTCACAGCCTTTGAAAGTTAAAGGAAGGTTTCAACCTGGCGCCACCCCACGCAAATCCTATTTGGGTAGTATGATCAAACTACCACCTGTTAAGAATTTACCAAGCCAAAGAACTAGAAGCCAGCCCGCAGCGCTTCTCCAAACAGACTCTGAAGAGTCGAATGGGGCAGACCAAGTGTTTCCGAGATCCAACGATCTAACCGTATTCGGTAAGGCATCCAGTGATTCGACAAGTACGTCGGCTCTTTCGCAACTCGACAGAGAGTGATGATACACACACGCACGCACATATACAGCTTACGATCTGAGCACTCACCATCTTAGGAATAAAAAACTGAGTACACAATCCACTTTCCTTTTATTTTGAATAAAATCTGGAAAGGCAGAGTTATGCACCCTTTGTACCTTCCGTGATGCACAAGTAAAAAAAACGATGGACAATCAAGCTCACATTGAAAGATAGTCCAGAGTTTCCGTTCACTGACCGTAATTTTTTCCGTTGAACTGAGAATCTTGACGGAGAGACTCATTCTTGGGAACCGGGTTACGGATATGTTGTCTCTGAGGCGCTTGCATCTAGGACGCGTTGTGCGTCCTGAAGTCGACCATAGGCATGTCTGGTTTTGATTATAAACACACCAGTCCCATGCCAAGCTGAATGCTAAATAAACTTCAACACAATCTGCTGGATAAAGAGTGCATGTTAGCAGTTGGTGTTATGTGTGCCATCTGTTAGACTTGAAATCAGTATGAGAGTAACGCCCAACACGGCGGTCACTTCTACTGACAAATGTGACCGAGGCGAAAGTCATGACTCGGGTCTTGTACAAATTCACCACATGAACTAATGGAGTGTGTTATCGAGGAACCGGACGGCATCTAGCCGCTTGTGTGAGACATCTGGTTACATGGTAGATGTGATGGAAGGTCTTGTGTGTTTTGACACAGTGGATCGAGGCAACCCAATGTGCAGATACTGTGCATGCCATTGATGTAGTCACCCCACTGCACAGCCAAGTCGGGCAAGGTCCTGCGGCTCCCTCGGACCATTTCCTCGTGGTGTTCCCCAATTTTGATCGACAACAGCAAGCGAAAGGGTAAGTACATGAAGGTTCTTAAGTTGTCATTCAGAATTGGCACTGAACGGGAGGTTAGATGCAAGCTTGTCACGCAGTAGATTACGGGGAATGTCTTCAGCAAACGTTCTACACCTTTCCTCAGCCTAATCCCTCCATAACGCTTCGAATTCCTCCTTAAGGAAACTATGTTTCTCCATAGATCTCTCAAGATAGTCGTTAACGCTACCGATTTGCATCCAACGGGCGCAAACACCTCTAAATGCCACGATTCATCGAGTGAGCAATCCCAAATCAGTCAATAGCATCCTACTTTGTGTACTATAGACTGAGTTGGGACTGGTTATCTAAAAAAAGAGTACGCACTTTTAGGTGTGTTTGCGCTCGTTGGACGTATTTCGATAGCGTTAAGGACCATATTGAGAGATTTAAGGAGGAATATGATTTCCTCAAGGAGGGATTCGAAATCGTTATGGATGCAATCGGTTGAGTAAAGTTATAGATGTCGATTCCGCTATCCCATCATCCCTAGAACGTTAGCGACAGGCAGATCAATTTCTTTCTCGCTGAAACCAGTTTGGTCTTTGCTTCTCGAGACGTCACATTTCTCCGAACGAACTTCTCCGGATAGTCATTTATCGTTAATCAGCTACGGATGGGTCGTAGTTTTGCGAAAAGTGAACGATTACCTGCCACGAACACTGTCTTTCCGATTGGACTGACCGAAATTAATCTAAAGGAAGCTGGCTGTCTAATTGGTGCTCGTGAGTCGCAGCCCATCTCAAAAAGTTGAAATTATCTGAATACAACCAGGACTGTACGACCAGAGCGGTCTCATGTAAACTCAATCCTTAGTAGGTGGAGTACATACTCTCCGTCTGATTCCCACGATAATTTGCCTACATCGCCATACTGGCCACCATTCTCTATGGTATGGGATACTGAAGACTCCTCCGGCCATAGTCTGGACAGTGGTGGATAGTCCCTTGTTCGAATATGCGCTACAATTGAGGAAGCCAGACTGGAACTATCTCAAGGAAGTACCTTCTTAAGCTGAAGAGTAACAAATGTTACTGTAAGCTCCCTGCACCAATCTATACCGAACAATTACATCGTGAAACAGAAGAAGACACACTGAAAGTGCCAACCTGCACTATTATGGGTAGTGGGAGTAGCATCATACACCAAATGATTTTATTGGTGAATTGACTAACTAATCGGATAAATGGCCAACTGGTGAACGATTAGTAAAGTAACCAGGGAAATAGAAGGAAACAGAGAGAAGGCATTTGTTGGACGAAAGACACGTATAGGCTTGCTCATGCATGTTGTTTCAAAGCATCTCACTAACATTAGTCATATTACATTGCCGCTACCAAGAGGAAGCTGCGACAGCTTCTTGAAAGTCACAGGACACCGTGTTGATCCACATGCGATCGAAACAGCCGCATGGCCAACTTGTCTCAGCGCGGTGTCTTAATGCACAGATGTGGCTGATCAAAGGTAACAAGTATTTTCTTTGGCGCACTATGTGTTATCTTCGTGAGGTCCATCCTCTGGGTACGAATCTGAAAAAAGCGTAGAAAGCGGAAAGTTGTTTCGGCAGTTCTTTGTTCTCTGACCGTCACATGTGACGGCAACTGTCCCCACATTCACTGGAGTTTCTTCTAGTCCGGAAAAAGTAACTAACCTACACGGCAGTTTATGGTGCGATCTCTTCCACCGCGAGTGATGACTGAACTCCACCTGCACGGATGACATCAGAGTGGAGCAATGAGAAATTCCCTTTACCGGAAATGGGCACACTAGACAGTGCTGCTGTGCGCTTGTACTAAAACTGAATGTGCACATTCAGTTCAGTCGCAATGATAGTCCTGTTGTCTGCTTGACATTAGCGCCATATGACAGTGTTATAACCCATCCCGGAGGATTTGAGGTTTCGCAGCTTCAAAGAGTGCGACCTCGATCATCAACCAGCATGTAACACAGAACATATAGTCAGTAAGTAGCTAAACAAGTAAACGAGCATATCTATGGACACTAATTTTAACTGGAATACCAGACCATCTAAGAGCATGTTACCAGAGGAATTCCTCTCATTTGTTCCTCGATTTTCACCACTTTAAGGACCACAAAAGCGCCGTTCCACCTCCACAATCCAACTTGTTATCTCGTAGACAGCTGCAAGCATCAAGTAAATCAGCGAGCAAAGCGAGTCGAGCGCCGTTGTCCGTTGCTCATCTTGTCCATTCTGCGTTATTACCATCTAAACGAATGTCAAAAGCGTTTGAATTATATAGAATTTTGCTCCCGATCATTGTCCACTCAAACTTACTCCAACGAGAGTTAGGTTAGTTCAACGAACACTGCAGCATGCTGAAACTACTATCGTAGAAGTTGGATCTTTATAGATAAACGATCTCATAGGGAATGGCGAATCAGCAAGAATACAGATACATGCGGCCCACAAACCTCTTCAATGGATATTGTAAGAGTGATTCCACTAAGAACGACATTTTTGGATAGACGACGCGCATCACTGAAGCGCGGCCAGTATCACTCGATCAGGGGAGCTGCCTAGACTGACGACTAACCCTGTTGTGTTCAGGGCCCGAGCCAATTACGCTTGGCTCGTTCTTCTGATCCATCTGTTCACTGTGATTGCACACTCCTGTCACATGTTATGTGCATAACGATGGGACACAATGGTAGAACACGGATAAAACCATCCAAGGCTTGACAGGTCCCGTGGAGTGGTTTGTGTGAATTACCTAGATTCGAAAAAAGTGACAGAAAGGTGAAACACATATATGTGAAGTCACTATAGTATCCACTTTAACACACAAATACATCCGTCTAACCCGATATCGCGCGGGTTTGTGTGCATCATGCTTCTCTGCGTCCTGTTTTCACTCGATGAGAAGAGTTCAAATCAGATAACGAAGACGGTGTAATGCATTGTCGAGTCGCATCTTAAAAATGAATAGCATGGGCGCAGAAATGAGACAAGTAGACAGAGCGTATAATGGCCGAAAAGGCAAAGAGAGAACTAATTTTGACGGCATTTCAGCTGGCTGTATTGAGTGGTCAGTTTCAGCTGATGATCCCTCAGGTTTATGCTGCGGTCCAGCTTATGGAGGTGGCGGCAAGCGTGACCAGGGTTTTTCAAGATCTGATGCACCAGAATGAGGTCGCCCCGTAAAAGGCAATAACCCGTTGTACAGCCCTAGGGCTTTCAGTCGCAAATGGTATTGCAGGTGGAGCAAGCGGTACACATTTTTGGATGTCTTTAGCTGTGGGGTCTCCAGTGCAACTAGATCACGCTACATCCAGCGTTGCCATGCTGAATAGTGTTCTCTACATGGTGCCTCACATACGCGTTGAGAGTTCAAACCGCCCCAACGCCCTCTGTAAGAGACTAGCAAGTCAGTCTGCGATTCCTGATACCTACAAGGACTAATCCGAACATCCGAGGTCGTCTAGCATAATTACCCCAGGGTCGCACTTCTGTGAGGCGGTCCCCAAGTGGTGATCACCAAGATTAGATGTGTTAGTGGGCTTGTGGCGTACATGTATTGTTATACGATTGTCCGTCTGGAACGTATGTAGATTTGTTTTTGACCATTCGAGAGCGTGGTTTTGGTCTCGATGCAGCAGATGGTGATATTCCTGACTAGCGATCGCCCGCCATATCTTGATATCATCAACAAAAGTACGAAAGTTCACTCGATGATCCGCGCGAGGTCGTTAATGAAGATCAAGAATAAGCGTGCACCCAACGTTGATCTTTGCAAAATACCACGACCCACCTCAAGAAGAGCGGACGATGATCGCATAATCCGAGTCTGAAGCCGCTGCTGAAGGAGAAAATTTCCGATCCATCCAGAGATAGAGTTCCCAATTCCGTATCTTCTCAGACTTTGGAGTAGGATGCAGTGATCTAAGTGATCGAAAACTGTAGAAAATTTAAGGTAGATAACATCTGTTCCGGTCCCACTATCTGCTGTTCCGGTCCAACTGCCACGCGCAATTAGTGGACTGGTAGTACATAACATTGTTGGTTGAAGAATGGCGTCACCGGGGAGTACTTTTCCGTACTGCCTTCTGTGTACAGTTTGACGTCGTGTAGAGTTATGGTTTATGGCAAACTTACGCCTTCCTTTGTTGTCACCAATGGAGTCTGACAAGGATG